CTGACCTCACCCCGCACCAGCCGCAGCTTCGGCTCCAGCTCCGCCTCCCCGAGCGCCCCGACCAGCCAGAGCCGGACGCGGTTGTGCGACCCGGAGAAGAGCCAGGCTCCTGTGGCCACGCGGATGCGGTAGCGGCCCATGTTGTCCCTCGCAGCTCAAGCCGGGGAGCCAAGTCCTGCGCGATTCCTGGGACAGCCCGGGGCGCTGCCTCCTCTGGGTCACTTCCAGGCCTTTAAAAGATGGGTCTGCGTCCCCGCCCTCACAACTTCTGGGCACTCCCACGTCTCCGCCCCAGACTAGCCCGAACCTGCGAGGGGAGCCGCAGAGCAGGCTTTGGGCTGTACCTTCGGGTGGCAGGACCGTAGCTGTCAGAGGAAGATAAAGGAGCCCTGGCAAGGGTGAGGCCGAGGATGGGAGTGGTGGGGCCCGCTGGACCTCCCTGGGAGGCCTGAGGGCCAGGGGCTCCTGTTTGGAGTAAGCAAGGATGAGGACACTTTCCAAGGTCTCCGGGTCTTTGGGGAACATGGAGAAAGAGGGTGAGTCCATCTTACAACGTAGGAAAAATCTATAGGTTGGGATCTGGAGAAAGCTTCTCAAAGGCCAGCTTGGAAGGCTACGCCAGTCTTTCAGGGATGCTCTGCTGCTAGACCCAGGGCAGTGCAGAAAGCCCTCTGCCCTGGAACTCTACTGCCTGTAAACCCTGTCCTTCAATAAATAGCACAAACTACTACCTAGCAAAAGCCTTGCTACCCTACTCACCAGTCTCTCTTACCCTCTGCAGCTTCCCCCACCCTATTTAAACATCTGGTGGAAAGAGCCCTAGTACACTAAATACCATGGCCAACATCTTGAGAGCAGCTGGAGACAGAACTGTTTTGTCCAGTCTCCATATGGATGCAGGAAATGTTAGGGACCCAGGAATACCAGTCTGGATGTTAGGGTGCTGTTAGAGAAACAGCATATATGGACATTCCCATCACTTTGTCCTTTCTAGGTGAGGGCAGCCCCTTCTTCTTCAGTAGGTCCCAGATTAATTTTTATTCCCAAGCCATCTTTTAGTCCTTATTGGGTCTCAGGGTAGGAAAGGCAGGAACAGTAACGGGACCAGCTCTAGTTAGGGACTTTGTAAACCATGGAAGGATAGTTGGGGTCTCTGGCTTTGTTGCCCATTCAGAAATTAATCAAATCAGGCCAGACCGAGGATCAGAATTCTAGTACAGGCTCATGTCTAGACCTTTGTGACTGATTAAGTTGTTGAAAGCATTTGGCTCACAATGGATGCCTCTAGAGAACTGGGATGACAGATAAATCTGCTTTCTGGGACCTCAAAAATGAGTTGGTGCGCTGAATGTTGGTAGGGATAAGTTCTGGGATGAGGGTGGGGGTCCTGGCTCCACCTTTCAGCCTGCAAATCTCACAGCAGTGTCTCATCCTTTCTGGATATTTGTCCTTGTCTTCTATGTCTGCTTCTGACTACATGCTCTGCTGGGGACTGGGTGTCTGCCATTTGATAGTTCCCTGTTCTTCCGGTTTTTTGAAGTCACAATATTCTGTAATATCCAGATAAAATGGCTTCCTTTCCTTGGTAACAGCAGGATCTGGCCCTTTCCACACACATTTTTAAAAAGTGGGTCACTTTTGCCTTCTAGAAGAGAGAACTTGTTTCATAGCTATTTCCAAAGCCAGTCCATACCACAGCCTGTTTCTGTGCTATTTTGTGACTTCTTTCCCATCCACTCTAGCATACTATGAAATCATGGCAGAGAGAGTTGTCCTCATAGTAACAATAAAAAGGTGGTTCCCAAGGGCTGGGGTTGGGGGAGAAAGGGAAATCTTGCACAAAGGATATAGTCACTCAGTTATGAGTAAGATCTGGGGACCTAATTTACAGCATGGTGACTGCAGTTATACTTGAAATTTGCTGAGAGAGCTCGTGTTCTCACCTCCCCTACGCTAAATCACCAGGTAAGATGATGGATATATTTATTAACTTGATCATGGCAATCACTTTACCATGTATACACTTATGAAAATATCTTGTATATACCCTAAATATACAATTTTTGTTTGTTCATCTTATCTCAGTGAAGTTGGGGGAGGGAAGCTTCAGATGTTTGTAAATAGTTGTGTTGAAATACAACATTTGGTTTTGCTCTCCCCCAGCATTTGCTGCTAATGCTCTTTCATGGTGGATTGCTGGTTGAAAGAGCCCATTGTGTGTGTGTGTGTGTGTGTGTGTGTGTGTGTGTGTGTGTGTGTTTGTGTGTGAATTGTGGTGACACAGAGTTTGTCAGTGGTATCATGGAGGACAGTTTAGTACAAAGAAAGAAAAGCATAATACAGTGTAGGGTGCCTTTCAAGGGTAAAGAGACTGAGTCAGAGCTGGAGAGGATGGGTAGGAGGGCCAATGAAAGGAAGAAGTTGAGTTGCTTTGGTGGGGCTGAAATAAGGAGATGATTTGAGCCCCAGAGTTCTAGGCCAACATGGGCAACATACATAATGAGACCCCTTACAAAAATGTAGGAGAGTGAGAAGGAGAGGGAGAGGGAGAATGAATTGCAATTTTTTTTGTTTTTTTTTTTTTGTTGCTGGATATTGAACCCAGGGTCTCACATATACGAAACAAATGCTTTATTTTGAGACAAGGTCATCCTAAGTTTCCCAGGCTGGGCTTGAATTTGTAGTCCCCTGAGTGGTTGGGATTACTGGCCTGTACCACCATACCTGGCTGTGACAGGAATCTTGGGCATGGATGAGGCCCTAGAGGAAGTTGGTGATCATGAGTTTTTTTGTTTGTTTTGAAGGGGAGGGGAAAATGTGAAAAAATGGTGATCATGAGTTTACCTGTGGTTCAGGAGTGTGACTTCCCTAGTGGATTCACTACTTGATTTCTGCTACAGAAAAAATAAAACAATGGACTCATCAGAGCATCAAGGCGTGCAACAGGGATCCAGAGGCTCTTCCTGGTAGAGGCTGACAAGAGCCCATCTGTCATTTCTATTCTTATCTCTCCAGACAGCAGTGGTAGAGCAGGTATGAACTCTTATTCTTATTTGTTACCTTATTTGATTGTCATTTAAGCAACCATGGAGTTGAGACTGCCCTTCTAGGCATACCTCCCACCTAATATCATCACTAAATCACTTCCACTTGCTTATTCTGGAGCTGGCTATGCTCATCATTCTGTAAAAGATTGGGGCGTCCATCCTGGTTTCTTCCTCCAGCAACCATGGCTTGTCTTTACTTCTCTGGACCCTAACACTGGACTCTTTTCAGGAAGGGGAAAGAAGACTAGGCCCAGGGTATCTTGGGGTTCTCATATTACCTTGGAGAAGCCACAGTTAAAGAACAAGTAAAGCTGTGGGGATCACCCGAGAGACCTTCTCTGGGACCCCTGCCAACCTTCTGTGGCAACTCCTCAGTTTATCATTCTTTTTGTTCTCATGTTTACTTTACCCTCCCACACAGTTCAAGTTTATTGCATGATTTATAGAAAATTTTCATATCTTGCCCACTGCTTTGACCTACCCTTTGCTGAACCATATTTGAGAGCTGTCACTGACATTGAGCTTTGCCACATCACAGATTTTACTGAAGATCTGCAAGGACAGGGAGTAGGGTGAGGTGACTGAGGCCTTTACTTCAGGTGCAAAACATAAGAGGCTCCCAAAAGCTCAATAATCAAGACAAATAATATCTTAATACAGTATTTGAAAAGTCAAAATTAATGCAAAATATCCACAATGAACAAACTATCAAACTTTTAAGTAAAGACAGAATTAGTTATAAGGCTTAATATTAGCCATCTATTTAAAAAATTTTAAAATTTGTAGTTTTTTTTTTGGTTGTTGTTTTGATAGAGAGTCTCACTTTGTAGTTCAAGCTAGACTTTCACTCACTAGGTAGCCCAGGCTGGCCTCAAACTCACAGTGATCCTCTTGCCTCTGCCTCTTGTGCACTGGAATTACAGACGTGTGCCACCCCATCCAGCTACCCATCTATATTGTTAACATATTTTGAAACAACCCTGCCACCAGAAAATTTCCTGTAGCTGATTTGACCCCAGCTTCCCCATTCCTAATCAATAGATGGCTTGTTGTGGTATTTTTTTTTTTAATCTTTGTTCTGTTTATTTCATCCTCTCTTCAGCAATGGCGTATTTGAAGAAATCAATATTTTAATTTTTTCTTTCTTTTTTTCTTTTCATTTCCTTCCTTCCTTCCTTCCTTCCTTCCTTCCTTCCTTCCTTCCTTCCTTCCTTCCTTCCCCTTCCTTCCTTCCTTCCTTCCTTCCTTCCTTCCTTTTTGCTTGCTTTTTGCATTGTTGGAGATTAAAGCCAGTGCCTTGCACATGCTAAGCAGGCCCTCCCCCACTAAGATACATCTGCAGTGGTAGTAATATTTTGTTATGTAAAACAACTGATTTTTCATTTTGATAGGTAACAACTGATTGTGTCAACTAGAGTAAGAGATGGCCAACTAAATTGGATCAGCATAGTTCTGGATGTGGCTGAAGATTTGCTAGAATTTACTGTGTTTGAGTGATGCAACCAATAGGCTTGCCACTTGAATGGAATAAAAAGAAATTGGAGAAGGAAGGCTCCCTTCTGTTTCTCTGGAGAAGCTCCAGTCTTCACCTTCACATTGGATGTTGTCTCCTGGCTTCTGGCATGGACTCTTCTGCCTTCTGGCGCAGACCCTTTAGCCTCCGGTGCAAAGCCTTTGGCCTCCTGATACAGACTCGCACTGGACACAACAGTGAACTCCAGGCCTTTGACTGGATCCTTCAGATCTCCAGCATGCAGCAGCCTTTTGCACTCTTCCACACCTGACTCTGTGGGCAGCCATTGCAAGACAATCTTGTAAATTCTTATATTCTGTATATCTTTCATCAAACCTGTTTTTCTAGTAAGCACTGACTGATACACTCATCGTCTCATCCCCTTTCCAGACTCTGCTCTGCCTCCCAGCTTTTCAAAACCAGAAAGTCTCTCCAAGGAGTCACATAAGTAAATGATTTTTCCAAGATAAAATTCTCAAGCATCACTGTCTTCTTCAGCAGGTGTCTATAAACTGAAAGAGACAGAGGCTTTTTCACTTAAGGCTCACTTGAGATTCATATACTGCTCCCCCATCCCCGAAGAGTAATTGGCTCCAAGTAAGTATGTGTGTTGTTTATGTAGGTATGTGTTTGATGGAAGAAAATTAGTGTATTTAATTTAATCCTACACGACTCTTTTATCCCAGCTTTTGAAAGAAAGGCACTTAAGTCTTAAGAAGGACAAAGACAGGGGAAAGGATACTCTTAAAGTTGCACAAGTAGGCGGATTATCCTAGATGATGTCATGGGCTTGATTTATAGACTAATCTTCTTTCTTTGATTCTTAGTATTACGCTCTGCCATTGTTACCATAACAAATCTACTCCCAAAATGTATTTATCATGTCTTCATTCTTAAATTCCTAGCTGTTGTCCGTTGTAAAAGTCTCTATCACTTTGATCAGGCTCGTCTCTAGGGTGCATGGAGTCTCAGGAAAAAAGAATTGTGGGTCCTCATCTATATAAATGATTTGTTTAGAAAGGTATGACAAAATTCACAGGCCCACATGAAGTATGGTGATTTATCAGCAAATCTATAGAATAATGGGTAGTGAGGTAGTACTTACATAATTATTTATAGGACTTCAGTTGCACCTGAAAGGTGGCATAATAAGCATTTGCTCCAGTCATTTTCTGAGAAAGAGCGCTTAATAGATAACATTTTAAAAGATGTATATTAATCATGCCTTTATTCAACTCATGCTTGATTATTAATTTGCCTAAGAATAGAATTGTGGATATAATTTTAAAAAACTTCCTTTAGAATTTTGATGGTATTTTTGTTAGTGAATGTGTAGGCAAAGCCCTTTAACAAAAAACCATCAAAATGCAGAAACTTAAACATCTGATTAATAGCTCCTGTATTGTCACTATTTCTTCTAATCTTTAGCTCTCTGTCTTTTCTACTGCTTTCTTGGAGATGTCCATCTTTTCTATTAATGTTTTTTCTGTTATGGAATAGTCTGTGTCACGATTTTTTGTTAGTTTCAGAAAACATACTGATGTTGTTTCTAGGATGTTGAATCTCTAATATTCCTGAACATAGAAGTTATAGTTTAAAAGTCTCCTATTCCTGTACTATCCCTGTTTCCTCTGAGTCCCTTGCTGTTTTAAAATGTTTGGTGAGCCTCTTCATATTTAAGAGTGAAATACTATAAAGAATGAGAAAGTAGGTTCATTCATAGGTAAATGGGTACATTTTGAGGATATACTCCTAAGTGAAATAAATAAGTCACACATATGCAAATACTGAATAGTTTCTCTGGTGTGAAAAAACTAAAATAGTACTCAAGATCCTAATGGGGCAATTAGCAATGTGAAATAGGAAGAAAAGGACCAAATGTGTAGGGACAGTGAGAAGGATAGGGAAAGGGGAATAAGGGAAAAGAAAAAAAATGAGAAAATATAAAAATGGAATTAAAGTGTTTGAAGGTGGGGAGGGGAGGAGGGGATGAAGGGAGGGTGGGGACAAGGGGAAAAAATGAGAACCAAGACCTGGCATGTAAAGGTACAAGATCCCAGTAATGAATGTAACTGTACTGTCTGCCTAGAATGTACCAATAAATTCAATTAAAAAAAAAGAGTGAAACACTAAAAAAAAAGGTACTTGTGAAAACTTTTTTTAAGGGATGGGCTGCGATTTGGCCATTTGGCACGGGACCTTCTATAGTCAGTATCTGTAGGTCTTGATTTCTCCAGAAACCAACCTTCTAATTTCCTGATTAAGGTATAGAAACCAGACCACAGTGATTTGGAGGAAGACTGGGGACTCAACATTCAGTGTATTTACTGACTTTCACTATCCATGTTTTCAACTGGGCCTATCCACCTACTGACCCATGTCCACGGTCTCTGCTGTATCGGAGGATGTGCATTAGTCTTTTGTTAGTGAGGAGGGATTGGCTGACTGAATGAGATGATGAAGGAATATGGGGGCCATTTGCTTTTTAGACGGATTTTTCAATCACTTCTACTCTGCTCACCCTTATCTGTATCCCTCCCTTCCTTTTGGAATTGTCAGTACCCAATTCTTGAATCTTTCTGAGTATCTGTGCTTATCGGTGCAGCCACATACAAGCATCTGACTTTTAACATTCTCTGATTTGCTAATTCTCACTTAATGTTGACCAGTTAATTATCACTTGTACATCTGATTTCAGTTTCCAAATTACAGATATCCTCTCCTATATATTTTTGTATCTCTTTATATTAGTAGTTTTATGTTGTGTGTGCGTATGTGTGTGTTTGTGTGTGTGTTTATTACTTGTGCATGCTAGGCACTACCACTGAGCTATATCCACAGCCCTTTTATTTTCTTTGGGGACAGAATCTTGTTAAGTTTTCCAGATTAGGTTTGACATTGTGATCCTCCTGCTTTATTTTCCTGAGTAGCTGGTATTGCAGGCATGTATCACCACACCTGGCTTATACCTTTCATTTTAATACACCAATTGACATTTTAATTGGAGAAGAGGAGAGCCAAAAGGGGAGGAAGTTCAACCATTCAGGATTAGCAACAAGGAATTTTTTCCTTAAGTAGTGCCTTTGCTGTATTTTTTCTAGTTCCTCCTTGCTCTTATAGGTAGATGTTAGAACTTTTGGATCTACTCTCCCATGTTCCCCAGTGTCTTCTTCACTTTACAAAGACTTTTTTCTCTTAGTTGTCACATTTTCAGGGAATCCCTTGGCCAAGTCTAACAATTCTCAAGTTGGGTCTTCAGCTTTGTCCACCTTGTCACTAGGTTTTAATTTCGATTTGTCATTTAATTTCAAGTTGTCATTTTCCTTATTGCCGAGGCTTCTAACTGCTTCATTTAATAATGTCACTTCCTGTTTTATGATTATATTATCCACCATAATCTTTTTGAAAGAATTAGTTATACTTATTTTAAAGTCCTATTCTTCCTATTTATTAGTTCTTTTTCATTGAATGTGAGTTCCTTCAATTGTTTGAGTTTGTGTTTCTTTTATGGTGTTAGAAACTTAACAATTGTTTGTTGGTGTGTGTGTGTGTGTGTGCACTTCTCTTCATACTAGACTGTCTGTGGTCTTGGCTTTCACAGTCCAGCTGGACAGAGGAACTGCTTCTGTTTTCAGGGTTGCACACTGTACAGTGTATTTGTTTTCACTGAGTGGGCTGTGCTGCTTGTGAGGTACGGATTTATGTGCAGAGTGTGAATGCTGCATGCTCCATGTACCATTCCCATATGGTTACTATCTCTCAGGACATGGTTTTGCTTCCTTCTAAGGAAGAAGTCTTCTATATTCCCACTGATGCTCTAGACTAAAATTTCCCATTTCAATTCAACCTTGTATGACTTTTATCTTTTAGCAAGTTCTTTCCCTCCATTCCAACAACCATTTGTAGTTTTGGAATATAATTCTTAATTACGATTATGATATCCCTTCTGCTGCTTCCATGGTTAGAATTTGACATAGAAGGAAAGGCTCCAGTATCCATCCCACCACAATCTTGTAATCAGTATTGGATAATTTATTCTATACCAAAGCCCCCTGTATGGGTGACTGAAAGATAATTTAAAATAGTCTTGTGATTCTCAAGCTATAAATAAAAAAATAAAAAAGTACTTTAACCAGTATATTTTGTTTCACCAATTTGTTACAAAAATAGTTACATTCTTCGAATAATGAAACTATCCTGTACCCCTCTACTCTGCCTATTAGAATATGCTCTTTTTTTCTTTCTTTCTTTTTTTTTTTTTTTTTTTTTAAAAAAATTTTTTTTTTTTTTTTTGACAGAAGGTCTCTCTATGTAATTTAGGCTGGTCTTGAACTCACTGTGTAGCCCAGGATGGCCTTGAATTTATGGCAGTCCTCCTGCCTCAGCCTCCAGAGCTCTGGGATTATAGACATGCACCACCATGCCCAGTGCTAGTTATTCTATTTTTAACTTGCATTTCACTGGTGGCTGATGAACATCATTTCATGTACTTATTTGCCATTCATGTCTGTTCTTTGAAGTATATGTTAAAATATTTGGCCTAGTTTTTTAAATTAGATTGTCTTCATGTTAAAGAGTTTTGAATGCTCTTTGTATATTCTGAATGCAATTTTTATTTTTTTAATTTAAAATTTTTTCTCTTAAATCCTTTTATTGGTATATTTTAGGTATACAATACATTTATATTCATCATTGGGAACTTGTACCTTTACATGATGTATCTTGGTTCTTATTTTCCCCCCTCCCTTCAACCCTTCCACCCCTCCCTATTTGCAAAGGCTTTGTTTCCATTTATTTCTTATATTTTTTTTTCCTTTCCCCTATCCCTCCCACTTCCTCTACCCCTTTGGACCTTTTCTTCTTATTTCACATTATCAATTCTGAATGCAATATTTTTTCCTTTTTCTTTTTGAGGCAGGGTCTCACTATGTAGTTGAAACTGACCTGGAACTCACTATGTGGCCCAGGCTGGTCTCCAACTCACAGCAGGATTACAGGCATGTGCCACCATGCCTGGCTCTGAATACAATTTTTAAATTAGATATGTGTTTTACAATATGTTCTCCCATCCTATGCCTTATGTTTTCATATTCTTGACTGTGTCTTTTGCAGAGGCATATATTTAAATTTATGTCTGTTTTATCAGTTTTTCTTTTATATTTAATATTTTTTGTATTCTATCTAAGAAAAACTTTGACAAAGTCAAAGTCACAAAAATCTTTTCCTAAGTTTTGTCTAAAATTTTTATGGACTTAACTCATATTGGGTTCATTATTTATTTTGAATTACCTTTTATACAGTATTTGAATTATTTTTATATGGTTTGAGAGCTACTCTTTTGTACATAAAAATCCAGTTGTTCCACCACTTTAAAAAAAACATTATGTTCTGTTACTTTGACATCTTCATTGAGAATTAACTTATTATACATGTTTTGATCTATTTTTGGACTCTATTCCATTAATCTATATGCCTATTATTATTCCAATACTATATTATGAATTATATACATTACTAGTTTATATCTGAACATATATTAAGTCATAGTAATGGAGAAACCTAACATTATGTTAGCTAGTTCTGGCTGTCTTGTTTACTACCAAGATCACAAACATATTCCTCACCTTTTGAGTTCTTTTCTGTCTTTTTATTAACATTTGATTATGACTATGACTGTGTTTTTTTAAAAATAAAGACATTTAACATAAGATCTATCCTTTTGGCAATTTTAAGTATAGAGTACAATTTGTTAGCTGTAGGCATTATTTTATATAGCAGCTCTCAAAACTTACTTTGCTTTCTTTATCATCTCTTCCTTTTCCCTACTTTGAGCTCCTCAGCCATTATTTTACTTTTTGTTCTATGACTTTGACTATTTTAGATCACGCATATAAATGAGATCATATAGTATTTGTTGTTTTTGTATCTGGCTTATTTCACTTTATGTTGAGCCCACGAGGTTCATCTAATTTTTCACAAACATAAATTTTGGAAAAATGTATATTTGGCTACTTTGTGCATTTAAAAATCAGATTATTATTCTTATTATTCTGATGTTGAGTAGTATGTATGTGTTCCTTATTTGTTTTGGATATTAACCTCTTATCAGGTATGTTTTACAAATATTTTCTCCCATTCCATGGATTGCCTTTTCATTTTGTTGATTGTTTCACTTGCTGTGTAGAAATTTTTCATTTGATATAGTCTCATTTGCTTATTTTTATTTTTGTTTCCTATACTTTTCAGGGACAACCTGAATTTGGCTGATAGCATTCTTACAGTGTGGTTAACATGTTTTTCCCTTTCTTCCATTTTCCATAAACTTTTGGATAGGTTTGATTAGATCCAGGTCTAGGTTTTTGTCTTCTTTTGGCAAGAATGCTCACATGTGCAGCTATAATTTTCTTATTAACTCATATTAGGCAGAACATAACATCTGGTTAAGCCACTTTTGTGATGCTAAGATTTATCATGCAGGGGTTAATAGTTTGATCCATGCCCATTAACCATTCACCCATAATTTCAGCAGCTATTCATGGCCACTACCTAGATCTGTTATTTCATTAGAGTTTTTAAAATGGTGATCTTCTAGTTCTGTCATTTCTTTTGCATTTAGTAATTGTAGTTTGTCTATTCTAATCTATACTGACTAAGACTGTTTGCTTAACAAAACTTTAGTCATACTCTGAATCTTCTTCCAGGCCCATCTGTGCCCTTGTGAAATATGGTTTTAGCAAAGGCTCTTGCTAAGTC